GTGAATATGGTCCAGTGCTTTTTCTACCTCAGAACTGGGAGCCCATGCATGGAGACTTAAGATGGAAATGAACCGTATCAGCAAATCTCATTTGAGATTCTTCTCACATTCGTCAGTGCATATGCGTGTTGCATCTGCATTTTGTGAAGCAAGGAGTACTAGGATAAAGTTCAGTGTTGGCTGAGTAATGTTCACCATGAGAGAAGTATGGGCTATGAGTAGGACCTAGAACTTAGTAATTTGACTTTTGAGTTCTTTATCAAAGATGCTTTAGCCACTTAGGTGACTCTTGCTTCTTCTTCTATCTCCCACACCACCAAGCCCTTAGAGGTAACAAATCTCTCAGACCTGTCGATGCCTTCTCCTTAATGCCTTGACAGCACCTTGTCTATTCCTTTCTCATTATTGCGTGAGTTACAACCCTCTGCATCTTACATCCCAAGTACCACACTCCATTCTTTTCTGAGTGCCCATAGTTTCTTTCCACAGAAACAAACTTTCTACTACCATCAGATTAATCTCATGGGAAAACCACTGAAGGCTCCAATGCTCCTGTGACCTTCAGAATAAGGCAGTCTGCCTTAGTTGGGGTTTCAAGTCTGGACAGAACCTGGCCCTGACCAACCTTCCTAATCATATCTTCCACCAATTCCCCAGACTAGGTTATTCCAATTCCTCAGAAAACACACTTCCTCTCTGCACTTAGCTTATGGTATTCTCACTGCCCAGGTGGACATTTCCTTTTTTGCATCTCCCTGAATTCTACTCATCTTTCAGAGGCGTCCCCCTCCTCCAGGAAGGCTCCCTTTCCCAGTCCTGCATGAAGCAAGTTCTCCTTCTCAAATCCTCTGCCAGCAAAAATCATGCTTTTGCCTCCCATCTTAGTTAAGTTGACGAGTGTCTCTGTGCCTCTTTTGCCGTTGAGAATTCCCTGTAATGCTTAGCCTGATATGTGGTAGAGGCTCAATAGATGTGAATGTCCTGGTACTTAAAGCAGCCATGAAAATTCTCAGTGGGTATATCTTACATGAAATTCTTATACTCCCAAGGGAAGCCAGCATCCATGTATCTGTTTATTATATCTTGTTTCAGTAGTAATAATAATCATTTTTCTTTCTTTTGAATAGTTGATCATCAAAGCACCTACTGCATAATTGCAGTATGTAGTGTATTGTTAATGCTAATCAATGTCCTGGTTATCATCCTAAAAACGTTCTGGATTGAGGCTACTCTGCTCTGGAGGGACATAGCTAAACCTTACAAGACCAGGAATGGTAAGTGGCAAATACCAAGTTTTTCACCCAAAGAAAAAGTCACATAATAACTGTTGGTTACTTGTCTATTAATTTTTCAATAGCTAGGCTGCTAAACCCAGATTCCATTTTGCTTGCTAATCTGTTATCAGTGAGTTATGTTTTTGGATTTTCTTAGAGGCCATTTTCCATCCTGCTCTGTAACTCCTCATGGTCCTGAGATTCATCTCAACAGCTCACATTTCTTCCCCGATAGGATTGCTATTCCTACTCAGTTACCAATGACAGAATCTGCCCCAAGCCCAGAAAGGTGTAAGTTTCATAATGTATTGGTAAGAAATTATGAAGTTAAACACAGTAGCAAAATTGTTCCTGTTTTCCAGATGTGAGCAGGTTAGAAAGGTCCGTCAGAACGCATGTGTGTTCTACCTGAAACCCTGATCTGTAAAGTCTAACCTAGGCACACAAACATGCTCATGAAAGGAGTCAGTTCTGCCTGCTAGATGCAAACCTCATGCTTTTGTTTGGAGGCAGATACACGTTGCATTTTTCAAACAGTTGACTCAAGTAGGAGCTAACGGTTTGATTTGTGGAAAATTCAGACCCCTTAAAAAATTCTATGCCCTTGCTACTATTAACTTTAAATTTTTTCACTTCCCCAGGGGAGTATGTGGAAACCAAAGATGAAACCAAGGTCTATCCAGCGCAGAAGGTCCCCTTGTTCATAGATTATTAATCAACATTGATGAAATGGTTTTAACTGCACTGGACAGGCTCTTGTCCACTTTTTTGTTATTTAGTCTGTGACAGTAAAAAGGAGAAATACTTTGGGATGAAGACTGTTATTTCCTGATCATGTTTTGTGGCAGTGGTTTGTTCGTCAACATCTCTTGAGTCTAGAACATTTTGGAGGATGACATGCATTCACCAACAGCCATAAATCTTGGAGAGCAATGTCTTCGAAGAGTCCAGTGAGAATTTTTAGAATCAAGTAAGAAGTTGTACTTCTTGTTTTCATTTTCAGATGGAAAGCTCTATGATGCTTATGTTATCTACCCACGGAACTACACATCCAGCACAGATGGGGCCAGTCGTGTAGAGTACTTTGTCCACCAGATTCTGCCTGATGTTCTTGAAAATAAATGTGGCTATACCTTATGCATTTATGGGAGAGATATGCTACCTGGAGAAGGTAAAGCTATCGACATACATTAGGGACGGAAATTCATGCTTATTAGAGGCTGTGAACTAGGTGGCCTTATCCCTGCATTGGATAAGGAATTGCATTTACTACCTCAGACCTTAAGACCAAAACTTTAAGTATTTATCCAGGAGCAGACACTTATCCTTCACTCTTCCCTCTCCCATCATTGTCCCGGTGATGAGATCTTCACAGTAATGTCGGTGGTGTGAATTCAGAGTTAGAAGTCCTGTGCTTCAAGGACTTAGTAAACCATCATCCCTACTTTATTTCCTTGGTCCCCCACCAGGATAACTCTGCCACTTCTTAATTCTGTCCATAAGATTTGAAAGAGGACTTAAACATTGAAGAATTTTGTTCTGGTAGCCGTAGGCACTAGCTGAAATACCTTCAAAGGACTCAGAGAGTCTTCATGACTTTCTTTATGTTGGTGAAACATTTGCAAATTTATATTCTCACCAGAGCACATAGAATTGTAGCTTCTGTTCCTTAATATTCTTACCCAATTTTATATATTTTTGACAGTTTTATCACAACTCCTGTGATTTCAGTAGCTATTTTTCCCTTCCCTTCATACATTTATGTCCAGTACCTATGGACCCTCCTTGTGAACTTTTCTCTAATTTCTCACAGATCAGGAAGGGTTTGGAATATAAATGGGGCTCAGATATCAAGGGCCTAAGCCTAATAAAGTAAACATTCAGTTTTACATTTTAAACTCATCTTACTAAGAAGAGGAATTCACATGCCTATAGATGTAAAGGTATGAACAACAGGTGAATTTGGTTTACCCTGGAATATCTGGGAATGCTCATAGCCTCAATAATGGCTCAAGAGACTGGTGAAAGGTACAGTTCAGGAGAGTATAATGCACTTCTTCTCTCGAGGCTCTCTTCTTCTCCCATTTTCCCACTGGCCACCCAGGCAGATAGAAGTAACGAGTAATGCTCTCAAACACTCTTTTCGTATTACGTTTGAGAGTAATGCTCTCAAACACTCCTTTCGTACTCAAAGACCTGCAGGGACTCCTGGTGTTTGTGAGCTCAACAGTGTGCCACATCTGGTCACAAGCTCTTCACCTCTTCTTTCTCAGTCCATCCACCTAAGTTCTAGTTACACTTCTCCCCAGCTAAACCCAGATGCTAGCTCTCTCACACTCAAGCTTGTGCTGCCTTCAGTGTGTGACAACATACTAATCTGGAATGGTTTTCTACTTCCCTCCATCAGTGCATGTCCTCTGACCTTTCCTCAACCAAAATAAAATGAAACCCAATAAAACAACACCAAACTTCACTCTTTGCTTAGGAAAGTTCATGACTGACTAAGGTGCTATCTTTATTCTCATGAGACTTATTTTGCATTTGCCCCACCAAAATCCTCTCTGCATCACCACTCCATCCAGTGGCCCTGGGTGGCTGATCATCATGGAAGCCATTGCACCCTTGTCCTCTGCTCCAGGCTGGGTTTAGCCAATGGGAGGCACTGGCAGGAGGTCAGAGGGTGGTCATGTACCTGCCCCTCTAGGTGGGGCTTCCGCAGCAGCTGTGCTCCTGCCTCTGGGAGCACCTCTTCTCAGCTGGCCTGCCTCATGCATCTGCAATTCCTCAGACACCAGTCTGTCAGAATATCATGGGTTGTTTTATTCATGGTTGTGCTTTCTTCTGTTGCAGTGAGGACTGGGTATTTCGTGTTCTTTCTAAGTCTACCCAGAGTGAATTGGAATCACCATGGAGTCTATGCTGTATAAACACCAAAAGGGAAAGGGGATCTATTGTCCCTTAAGATTTTTCTAGTCTGGATCAAATTCATTTCTACAACAGAGATTAATGGGGGGTGAAGTGAAGTCAGGACTTACTTTCCTAGAGACTTGGGTCAATTTTGAGGGGCAGAGCTTCCTGAGTTTGTGCTTTTAAATATGTGAGTTAAATTTTTAAGCCATTTTAAAACATATAAGCAAATATTCTAAGAAGATAATATGTATCTAATGAATCAGAATTCTAAGTCTCTAATGCAACAGCAGACTAAATATCTTTACATTCCCATTTACCTAGAAGGACTCTGTTTTAGTTAAGACTAAGCTACCTGGGAAATAAAAAGAGGACATTGGGGCTGATATTCTCTCAAATGAAAGGAGCACAAAGAAAAAAATGGGTTCTCTATCCACGTATATTTCCACTTCTATGAATAAGTGACTTGATTGATGTCAGAGAATCTCACACCAGATTATAACAATAAGACTTTTACATGTTCAGGATGTTTATGTTTCAAGCATTAGACTGATAGGAAATCTTATCTATTTCTTGTATGACTAGATGTAGTCACTGCAGTGGAAACCAACATACGAAAGAGCAGGCGGCACATTTTCATCCTGACCCCTCAGATCACGCACAGCGAGGAGTTTGCCTATGAGCAGGAAGTTGCCCTGCATAGTGCCCTCATCCAGAACGACTCCAAGGTGATTCTTATTGAGATGGAGGCTCTGAGCGAGCTGGACATGCTGCAGGCTGAAGCGCTTCAGGACTCTCTCAGGCATCTCATGGAAGTGCAGGGCACCATCAAGTGGAGGGAGGACCACATTGCCAATAAACGGTCCCTGAATTCCAAATTCTGGAAGCACGTGAGGTACCAAATGCCTGTGCCAAGCAAAATGCCCAGAAAGGCCTCCAGTTTGACTTCCTTGGCAGCCCAGAAGCAATAGTGCCTGCTGTGATGTGCAAAGGCATGTGAGTTTGAAGCTCTCCTAACTTCTCCTAGCTGGCCCATGCCCCTGCACTGAAGTGTGAGGAGTAGGAATGTCAAAGGGATCCGGCCTCAGGTTTTATCTGGTAACTTTGCTTCCATTTCCCTGATTCTGGGTGGATGCAAAATGCCCAGAATTTTTTCTCCTCAATCCTCCCCCATTCTCCAGCCACCATTCCCTTCCCTTTTCCTTTTTGCTTGACTCTCTTCACTGTGGTGTGGGATGTTTTCACTACTCTCTTTTCCTCTCTCTCTGTCTTGCTTTGTTGCTCCTGATTCTTTGTCAATAATCTGAAGAGCAAACTAATCATTCGACAGTAGATTTTCACATCATCTTGAAGAACATTCTGATTCCTTCAGGCTGAATGTCAGTCATAAATCTTGTTCCCAACATGCCAGAATTTATTTTATTTATTTTTATATATATCTCAAAGGTGCATGCTACCTTTTTTGCTCCCGGCTAATTTTTGGGGTATTTCTTTTTTTTAATTTTTTTTTATTTTTAGTAGAGATGGAGCTTCAAAATGTTGGTCAGGCTGGTCCGAAACTCCTGACCTCAAGTGATCCACCCGCCTCAGCCTCCCAAAGTGCTGGGATTACAGGCATGAGCCACCGCACCCGCCTATTATATTTTATTTGAGTGGATACTCAGTCTCATCATCTCAATATTGTTAATTTTGTTGGAATACCTTATCCCCATTGCCATTATGATCAAACTTTTTTTCAATTCTAAAATTCCTTTCATATACTTTTATTCTATTTAGAAATATTTACTCCCTATAAAAGTGATAGAAGGATATTATGGACGAAAAGAAAATATAAAAGAAGAAAATAATAAGAATCACTCATAAGTCCATCATTTTAAGATTTAAATTTTCTTTTTTTAAAAAAAACTTTATGGCTGGTTGCGGTGGGTCATGCCTGTAATCCCAGCAGTTTGGGAGGCCAAGGCAGGCGAATCACCGGAGGTCAGGAGTTGAGACTAGCCTGGCCAATATGGTGAAACCCTGTCTCTACTAAAAAATACAAAAATCAGCCTGGTATGGTGGCACGTGCCTGCAATCCCAGCTACTCGGGAGGCCGAGGTAGGAGAATCAATTGAACCCAGGAAGCGGAGGTTGCAGTGAGCCGAGACCATGCCACTGCACTACAGCCTGGGCAACAGAGTGACAGCCCTCTCAAAAACAAACAAACAAACAAAAATTTGTTTTACACATATCATTTTTATAGCTGAGATGATACCATGTGGAGTTTTGCAAACATCATAATAAAAACGTGGCATGTCACTGAAACGTTTTAAAACATTTAAAAATATTCATAGTGTTGCATCTCCCAGTTGTACTACATGGATGCAACTTAAATATCTACCCTGGTAAATTCTGCAACAATCCTATTAAAATGTTTTTCAAATTTGAGACCATTTTGTTGTAACATTTCTATGAAGGTAGTAGGGCATTTTGAGAAAACCGTTTTGGCAAAATAGAGTTAATTTACAGTCAGGGCCACTTTACTCAGAGCACTGAAGGAAAGCACACACCGTTGGGGGTTCCAGGACTGGATCCAGAGCTACTGCAAGTGTCCCCTCAGATAGGAATCCTGTTGGTGCTTCAAATTTTGTAAGTGGATGGAGCGCTTATCTCAGTTGAACTGCTTAATAATGTATATGATTCTGTATTTCACTGGCAAAAGAAAACTGAACTCTGGACTGTTGACAGACATCATCATCTTGAACTCATTGTCATTCAATACCTTTCAGAATCCGTACTAAGAGAAATCATATCTCTAGAAGATTCCTTATGGTTACTCATTTGTCTAGGTACCTATACCTTTAATCTGTACCCCCAGATTGGGTTGCCAGATAAAATACAGGAAATGTGTATTAAAATATCAGGACACGCCAGTAATCCCAGCACTTTGGGAGGCCGAAGCGGGCAGATCACGAGGTCAGGAGATCGAGACCATCCTGGCTAACAGGGTGAAACCCCATCTCTGCTAAAAATACAAAAAAAAAATTAGCCGGGTGTGGTGGCGGGTGCCTTTAGTCCCAGCTACTCGGGAGGATGAGGCAGGAGAATGGCGTGAACCCGGGAGGCGGAGCTTGCAGTAAGCAGAGATTGTGCCATTGCCCTCCAGCCTGGGCGACAGAGCGAGACTCCGTCCAAAAAAAAAAACAACAAACAAACAAACAAATATCAGGACACCTGTTGAGGTTGAATTCAGACAATGAACTTTCATCTGAAGACCTCAAACTCAGTTTTGGCTGGGGATCTTGTAGTTTTATTTGCTAAATCTGGCTACCTTACTTCTGTAGATTACCATTTGGTTTTGTTGAATTACTAAAATATTGGTCAATGAAAAGGGTATTGTATGGCTAACTATCATAGTATTTGGAATCAACAAGCCATCCTCTGTAGGCCTAGCAGCTGTGTGATCTTCAGCAAAGTACTGAACTTCTCCAAAGCTTAGTTTCCGTAGGTAAAATAACTATGATAATATAAAACCCTTTGGATTTCTGTGCTAATCAAATGTTTAAAAAATCTGTAGGCCAGAGTAAGAATTCAATAAATGGCAATAGTTATTATCACAAAACTTTACTGTATTTCTTTTCATATTAATTCTATTCTCCGACTTCTCTCAATGAGGACCACTAAAGAATAGATTCTCCCCAGTCTCTCTCTCGGGAATGGATGTGTCTTTACTCTCGCATCCACCTAGAATGACAAGTGTGGTTTTGATTTATGGACCCAGGAAATTTTGGAATTGATTTGTTTTCCTCTTCACATTAGCTACTTGAAAACACAGAGTTAAATTTGAGATTTTTCTACAGCAGGCATATAGGACATCATTACACAGATTTTGTAACGATCTCTTTCTTGGCTCCCTAATACCTTTGTTTTTAGTTTGCCCCCATATTTCTTATTTTAAAATATGATTTAACCATCTATATTATAAGCTCCTTTGCAAGTATTCAACGTTTACATTTTCTGAATGTGTGCTGAGTGCCTCTCTGGGAGGGATGAGAAGGAAGGTGTGATGGGAGCCATGTATATAGCCCAGGAAGGCACACTCCTTGCTAACCCTGATGGGGTGTAGAGGAATTGTGAAAATGCGCAGGGAAGAGAGAAGCACTCCAGAGGCCTCAGATAGGGCTGGCCTGGGGAAAACTCTGAAGTTGCTGAGTTCTTTTCTCCACTGTCCTTTTCCTAAACTTACACACCACTTCCCA